TATATGTATGCCCAATCATAGTACTCAAATACATCCTTGTATATGTATGTCCAATTATAGTACTCAAATACATCCTTGTATATGTATGTCCAATCTAGGAATCGAACACACAACCGGCAGCTTGACAGGCAGATACATATCAATTTGAAACCAATAGGCCGAGCGGTTCCGGGATCGACATACTCGGATGTCCGATGCAGGAATCAAACACACAACCTATACGCCTAGTGGCAATGGCCCTACGACTCGAGATCGACCCTTGCTAATCAGTGTCAAATGCATAGTACTCAAACACATCCTTGTATATCTATGTCCAATTTAGGAATCGAACACACAACCGGCAGCTTGACAGGCAGATACTTATCAAACCAATTATAGGCCGAACGACTCCAGGATCGACATACTTGGATGTCCGATCCAGGTATCGAACACACAACCTGCAGCTTGCCAGGCAGATACCGAACCAATACGCCTAGTGGCAATGGCCCTAGCCGCCCTACGACTCGAGCGGTTCCAGGATCGACTCTTGCCAGTCAGTGTCAAATGCATACGCGAATGCATCCTTATATATGTTTTTCTTCATCCGCTTCTTTAGGCGATCAATGACACGGAAGTAGCGGTCCTGTGCAGTACATGGCACCGTGACATCCTGTTTCAGTAACCCGATAATGTCATTAACATACGCGTCTGCTCCTCGGCTGTCCAGCTTTGCAGTCTTCATGAACATGCACATGAACCCAGCTGCAAGTGTGTCATCATAGCTGAGTGAAGGATCGCGGAAACATCGTTGAACAATCGCTGTGCGGATTGCGTCCAGGACAGTGTGTTCCCATCGGGAACCGGAAGGCGGAGGGCGATCAGAAGAAGAGGAGGGCAAGGATAAGGAGCTTCTGCGGACGAGGACCCCAATACACTCCATGGCTGCATTGATGTGGCAAGGATCAGAAGCAACACAGTCGGTGACGCAGAAGCGGACAATGACAGACCTGACAACGCTCTTTGCGATGTTTGAACTCACGGCCTCGCTCAAAATTGCCTCTTCCCAGAGCCGTATACTCCAACTCCCCTGCTCACCACCCCGCTGTCGATTGTAGATCATGGCATCCAAGACTGCCTCCACAATGAGCTGCTTGTTCTCAAGACTTCCTCCGGCAAGCCACCTGCGCAGCGTCTGACATGCCAGGACCTGACACGACATCTCGCAGGCAGCGCCAAGCATCGAACGGATACCGAGCTCATTGATGAGGTTACTCTGCAATAGAAGCCCTTGGTCTTCCATCTCCCAGATTCGACAAACGACCGAGACGTAGCCATGCGGATCGAGGGCGCTCAATGTCGTCATCTCGAGCGAGAAAAGTCTGATGATTTCCTCAGCAAACTTGGTGTCCGGTTCCTCGTGCCCCTCCGCAGGACCTTCATAACCTGCCAGAACTGCTTCAAGCTCAGCAACAGGGCCACCACCTCCAGCGTTGCCGTAATTTTGACTGCTGCCAATATTGCCCCAGCGACTGTAATCCCGACTGTGGTTCGGACCTTTTCCTCCAAAGGGGTTTTGCACAATATCATCATGATCGTGGTGCATTGAACCCCTGCTACTGTGACAGATTGCTTGAATTGACAGCAAGCAGGACTCAGCCACATCCACAAGTCGAAGACGGGGGGCGCTATCCAAGTGCGCCATTGGATTCTCTTTCATTGGTTCAGGAAGGGGAGGGGGGAAGGAGGGGGGAGAAAAAAAATTGTACTTCTGAGTTTCCTGTGCAAAAGAAAAAGGAAAAAAAAAGAAAGAAAGAAATGAAAAACAGTACAAGTTTCTATGAGCTCTCCAAGCAAATGGAGGCCCTTCTGGATGCCCACTTGCATGGTACTACTCTAAGACTTCTTAAGAACCGCTCTCTCTTAACTACTCCTATCCCATAGTTATGGACTCTCTGAATTGTCCACCAAATTATTTGCTGTGTTGTAGAACCTTCATCTACCCTCTATCTGCTTTTCTGCCCCCCATGCTCTACGCTATTTATCCCATCGTACCCGATTACTCTTTTTCTGGCGTCTTACCTCCACAGCGATTGTCTTGCATCTCTTCACCTCATCGCTTTTTGCCTTCAGAAGGTAACGTTTCTCCCGCCCGCCGTGTCCGCCGTGGAAGTCGAAAAGAATTCTGGTCAAAGTCAATGTCAAAGATAATTTGAATTATTAATTTCAAATTCAATATGAAAGTAAATGCCAGAGTCGAAACGGCGAAGTCAATGTCAATCTCAATGTCAACATCAAAGTCGAACTGATTTTTCATGCAATTCATGCTCCCCAGCAAGTTTGCATTTGGGCTGCAAAGTCGCCGAAGCTTGGTGAGATAGTATCTGTGTATCTGTCATTCCATCACCATCGCTGTATCTAGACTGCAAGTCGTTGGCCCGAATACAGGCAGGCATAATGTGTGTGAGTTCTATCCGGGAGAAGACAGGTAGCACCGCCCATAGCCATGGTGGGAGGTTGGAGAGATTGCTGACTCCCTGTTGACCTCCACAGCTTCCTGATGGAAAGGTAATAATATCATGACAATCACAACTCAAACAGGATTACTCACAGGGGGGTAATTGCGGAAATAGCGCGTTTTCGAAAAAGTTTCGAAGCAGAAATGTTGAACGGGTCCGAAATATCTTATTTTGCAAGGAAAGTGGGACCCCCCCTGCAAATATTTTTGCTGTGAAACTACCGGGACCTCTTAAGCTGCACCGAAAGATATAATTTTTGCGACGAAACTTGGGCCGCGCCCGTATTTTTTTTGCTGTGAAACTACCGCCACACACTATTTTTTGAAACTTACCCTTACTCACAGTCATGGTTAAACCACCAGTACTTGGCCCAGCTATCGGCCGAGGGCAAAAATAGAGCAGAAACGTTTCTAGTCAGATGAATTCGGGTGCTCCTGTAGTAGCCCGTATGTTTCCTAAAATCGTGGCGCGGTTAATGGACACGACTCTAGGAAGTACCAGTGGTTTAACTCCTCGCCGGCCATGAAGAGCTGTGGTCATGGTTAACTCATGGTTAACTCAAAACAGGTTGACTCACAGTCAATGGTTAGATCACCAGTGATGGAGATCTGTGGTCATGGTTAACTCACGGTTAACTCACGGTTAACTCACGGTTAATCACAGTTAACTCACGGTTAACTCACAGTTAACTCACGGTTAACGCACCGCAAAAGATTGCTGATTGGAACTCGCTGGCAGCTCAGCGGCAGCAGCTGTGAACGAACGCCCGAGGCCGTGAGCAAGAGCCATCGTTAACTCGCCGCAGGTTAACTCAAACAGGACCATAATCATGCTTTAGTAGCTGAGCAGCCTTGCAGATGCTGGACCTCGTGATTACAGCCTTTTCACTTTTTGTTTCCCAAAGGCCAACTGCCTTATGAAGTTGTGTTGTCATCTTTGATTTGAAGTTCAACTGACTGGCCCCAGCTGAACTAAGAGTTATTTTTTAACTCTCATCTGATTCCATTGGAATATGAACATAGGTAGGTCTGCAACTCTGCATTTCCACAGCTTCTGGAAGGACATTTCAACAGCTTGTGGAAGTTGCTGTACCAACTGACCTTGGGCAGTAGGTCCTCGTGGTTATAACCAAGGCTTGGATCCCACATCGCATTTTTAACAAAAAGTCGGAAAAGTCCCGTAGGAGCAGGAACCTTCCCGTTCGCGCCGTATAAATTTTTTCGCATCCCATATGCCCGACCTTCCAGGGACACTGCGGGAACAGTGCCGATATGCGTTGGGGTGCGAGGGACCTGCGGGGTTCCCTTGGTCCGATTTTGTGTCCGACGCCTTCACGCTGCTGTCACCGACGGCTTGCGGCCTAGCTCGGTGAGGGAAAATCGTCGCGTCGCACGCCGGCAGGACCACGGACATTCCAACAGTCCAAAAAAAAAAACATCTTTCTGCGCCAGCTTTCAGGGGGCAGAGTAGGGGGATGCCTGCTTTTGCGAAACAATTGTCATTTCGTGGCGGGTGTCGCGGCCTGATTGACACGATGCGCATAGTGAGTAGAAACAGCCGAATTTTGTTTCAGGTCCCGAACGCCCCGGTACATTGTGGGATCCGAATTCGGGCCCGAAAATGGCCTCACTAACAATAGTGGGATCCAAGCCTAAGACGACCACCGATTCAAACCGGCCGCCCAGCCAGCTCTGCCGTGAACACGTGGCAGAGCCCGTGACTCGTGAGCAATAGTCAATCATGGACACTGTTAACTCCGAACTCCATGCAGGTCAACTCTTATCACGTTCTACGGCGTTTATAGGTCAATGGGTCACACTAAGGGTCAGATCCCACTACCCTGGATTATTCATTTTTCACCCTCGATTACGGAGATCAACGGTCAGACATGAACAATAGGGGCTAGTGGGATCTGTCCCTAAGGTTGCGTTGCCGCCGTTGCCCTCGGATTGTCAAGTCGTTCCGTCTCGACAGGGTTGCMCCGCACCGCCCCGCCGTGATCGCACCCCGCGGCGAAGGCACACGGTCGAAGTGAGGGTTAGAGAGAAGAATAGTGAATAGAGAATAGAGAGTAGAGAGTAGAGAGTAGAGAAAGCGCACGCGAGAGAGAGCACACCCATGAACTGTTGAAAGGAAGACCTGAGTTCAATTCCTGATGGCACTTGATGAAAGATGTCTAGGGCCCCAAGGATCTAGTCTGTCCAATAGGAGGAATAGGATGTCGCTCACCCATGGACTGTTGAAAGGAAGACCTCAGTTCGATTCCTAATGGCACTAGATGAATGAAATCAAATAAGAAGATTATTCAACCTTCTTTTCCCGCCTTTTGGCGTCACACAGTTCTAGAAAACTAAACTACACGGCGCATGTGGGCCGAGACCCGGGGGGCCTCGGCCCACATGCCAGCGAATAGTATAGTTTACTAGTCCGTGTGACGGTGTGGGACTGTTAGGAACTGTCGATTGTATTTTCAACAGACGGTGGGGTTATGCATCCCGCCATTTAGGGCAAGGAGCCATAAGGCTCCCTTTGTGATTGGTTCTTAGCTATGAATCCCCGTCGGCGGCGGCCAAGCGCGGCCGAATCCGCGGACGCGGCCAGGCCGCCGACCCCGCGGACGCATCCGCGCGGACGCGCGGCTTTGAAGCCACGTGGCGGCCAGTGGGGAGGGGGGTTGGGGA